CCAACCCTACTACGCATAATATCCATTAAGAAAACCAAATTTTGATTAACAGAGCAAAATACAATATTCAACTAAAAATAATCATAAAGAATACAAATGAGGTGGCAAAGAAGGTCTTACAGTGAGAAGGAGTTAACTTTGGGGTTTAAGCTACAGGTAGCTTTTTCTTGCTATAAACATCGTTTCTTCACAATGATACAGCCTATAAAAAAAAACCAAAAACAAAATATTGATATTCCATTTCAGTTTTTGGCCCTAGAAAACTTTGAATTTTTCAGTAGAATTCGAATTCAAAAACATCGAAAGCAATAGCACAATCAGCAAAAAAGATAAAGAAATTGCACTTATGGATATGCAAAACAAGTTGTTATTAAAGATCAGAAAAGCTGAGTTCTTTGGTAAGGAAATTACACTGACAGAGATAGAAAATCGAAGATTTCAGAAGTGTTTCAGTCTGTGAGGTGGAACAGATATCCCTAATTTAAACACCGACCAATTTTAATCAAATACCAGTGAGTAAAGAAGAACGATGGAGAAATTCTCGTGTTGTTACTGAGAAATCCAGCAAAAGCTCACGGAGAAAATTCCATAGAAGATACAGAGGAAGAGAGATGCTGGGAGTAAAATCCGATGAAATTTCGTAGAAAACATCGATATGTATCTGTAGATGCATTCTCATCTCATATGCAACTTACTCAGCAAAGTTCAGCGCACGTGTAAGCGCAGCGGGAAATAGAAGGTATGTGAAAATGCCTAAATACCCTTTAGCAGCAAGCAGACATGACGACCTTCAGCTACTTCTCTCGCTCTTCTATATATTAGTAATATAACTAGTATTAGTACCCGCGCAATGCGCAGACAAAAATCATATCAAATTGTGATGTAGGTTGTTTGAATTATGTGCGAATAACCTTAAAATATAAACCTCTGAGATAAAAATTATATAACATTAGATATTAATTATGAAGAAGGATATGAAATTATTGTTCAAATCTCGTAGTGGACAACCTATTTTATATATATATATATATATTAGCATAATCCTTAATTGTAGTACTTGCATTTCATTTTGCTGTCAATATTAAAGAAAACTAAACATGTCATGTTGTGATCTGTCTTGTTTGAGCACATTAGATAATATTATTTTAACAAAATTCTTACTATCACTTTGCTTTTATCTGAAAGACTGAAAGTCAAATATGTCTTATTTATCACATCATTTTTATGCAAATTCTTTTTTTTTTGTTGTTCTTTTCTTATAGTTATTGTATTATTTATTAATTAATATTATTATACTATCATATAAGTTTTTATTAGCTTAATAATTAAATTAATGTCTTGCTTATTATCCTTTAATAGTCCTTAATAAATATAAATATTTATTCTTGAAATTTGGTATATTCTTAAATAACTTTCTCATCTCAAATTCAAATATTTTTTTATCATTCTATTTTCTAGATTGGACCGCATTTTCAAAAATTTATGTTATGCTTTCAAACTTAAATTAACTGTACTCAATTCAAATATTAATCATACAAAAGTATTTTTCTTAATTGTTTGAACACACTATATCTAAATGTTATAGTAATATTTACGTATAAGATAATTGTTTTCTCGATTTATCAATATTAATATGACTTCATTATTATTGTTATTAAAATATTTTTTTACTGATTCTTTAGTTTTTTTCTTACCTTATAAATAATTTGTATACTTTCATAAGATCTTATTTTGCTGCTTGAATTTATTAAATTTTTAAACTCAATAAATCTTTAATATTTTAAGCAAATTTTAGTTTTATTTATATTTTAACTTACTCCAAAATATAAATATTCATAGGTTATCTCAATTTACGTATCTTTATATTTTTATTTTTTTTCTATTATAANAACTTGGGACACCATAAATCTCCCAAGTGGCGACTCTGAATCTTTAAATAAAATCCCGTTTAGATTGTCCCTTAATTGAAAAAACTCCCTTTTACGCCCCCCTGCGGGGTGTAGGGGAAAAAGGAGGTGTGACAGCAGTCAGTTTCAATTTTTCTTCTTTTGCGTGCGTGCGTGTGTCCGCATCTTTATTTGTTTCTATTGTAATTGGTTCCATAATTGAAGCCTATATATTATTTTCACTCATGCAGTGTATTAAAGACAATTAAATACAATCTCAAGTAGCCGTTTCACCATTGTCATAAGGACATTAGCACAGAATTTAAGTGTAGTTGAAGCTTTGAACAGGAAAAAACACAATAAAGTTGAAAGAAGAATTTTATCAAACACTTACAGGACAAAGAGAGTAAACAACAGCAGCACCACAGGTTTAGGTCAAACAAAAATCAACATGAAGACAACCCTACTACGCATAATATCCATTAAGAAAATCAAATTTTGATTAACAGAGCAAAATACAATATTCAACTAAAAATAATCATAAAGAATACAAAT